ACCTAGTGGTTGAGGTTGGTATATCCACAATATCTGGAGTAAGTGGTATATAAGGTTATAAGGTCTCTTACTGTTATCTTTCACTGATTTTTTGAAAGGTTATAAGGTCTCCTATTGTTATCTTTCACTGATTTTTTGAAAGGTTATAAGGTCTCCAATTGTTATCTTTCACTGATTTTTTGAAAAGTTATAACGTCTCTTATTGTTATCTTTTACTGATTTTTGAAAGGTTATAACGTCTCTTATTGTTATCTTTCACTGATTTTTTGAAAGGTTATAAGGTCTCCTATTGTTATCTTTCACTGATTTTTTGAAAGGTTATAAGGTCTCCTATTGTTATCTTTCACTGATTTTTTGAATGGTTATAAGGTCTCTTATTGTTATCTTTCACTGATTTTTTTACCTTTTTAAAATCATGACTAATCCTTTCTGTTTTCATGTTGATTAGGACAGTTGGGTAACTAATAATTATTGCCCTTATTTCTGCGCACATCCCCATCACCCAGTAGCTCAGTGATATCTTTTGAGGGCTTATCAAACTAGAATTCAGGGTTGAATTTCCGTGGTGGGCACAGTGGATATAGCCCATATGGTAGTTTTGGGTTGAGGTAAAAACAAATTTTTTCACCATCTTTTCGTGATTTTTAGTTTTGCTCTAAGTAGGTAGCTTGTTGTCAGTATATGCTAGTGTGTTTTGCACAATGGTATGTCTGCAGACTTACAATGCCAGAAACCGGGTTTTAATACCCGTGGTGGGCAGAACACAGATAGCCCATTCTGTAGCTTTGTGCTTAATTTCAAACAAAAAACATAATGCCGAACTAATGTAAATAAAAAGATAACAGGAATAAAACACACTAACATATACTGACAACAAGAAAACACACTAACATATACTGACAACAAGAAACACACTAACATATACTGACAACAAGAAACACACTAACATATACTGACAACAAGAAAACACACTAACATATACTGACAACAAGAAAACACACTAACACATACTGACAACAAGAAAACACACTAACATATACTGACAAGAAAACTCACTAACATATACTGACAACAAAAAACACACTAACATATACTGACAACAAGAAAACACACTAACATATGCTGACAACAAGAAACACACTAACATATACTGACAAGAAAACTCACTAACATATACTGACAACAAAAAACACACTAACATATACTGACAACAAGCATTACGACATTCCTTTGTTTGTACTGAATTAATAGCATTTAGAGCAATAAATTAGTTTGTAGATCGCTTTCATGAAACTTGCCATAAAACTACGCCAGCATTTAAAACGATTCTAAACTATTAAACACAATTTTTGGTTCCATGGCTGTTGATCCTTAATCATACCAGTCATACAAAAATTATAATAAATATTGTAATTAACCCCGTTAATGGGATTTAATCCTTTTTTTTTTTTGTGGCCAGTTGTAACAGGAAAACGGAAATATTTTTGATCCTAAGATAAACAGTAATACAAAAACAAGTCTGTAATTTTAGGCTTAACGAATTCTTGAAATGTTGTACGTTTTTCTTTCGCTTGTTCAGATAACCCAGAATCAAATAATCGATGTAAAACTAGTTTAACCTCTCGTATTTAGGAAGATATAAACATTTTCAACTGTGCTACGTATTGTGACGTTAATTTATTTGTGTTTCATAATCAAATCGCTAGGGTTCGTGGTTTTCTCAGGTTAGTGTTTGTATATTTTTTATTATTGTCATTTAATGAGTATTTTCGATGCTTTACAGCAGTTTTTCTGCTAGAAATATTCTGATCTTCTGTTTGCCAACCTTCCTTAATTTCTCCACTACAACAACATGCTGGTCGAAGCAGTTTCTGAAGAACTTCCAACGCTCTTGGATCAACTCAAGGACAGATTACCTTACTCGGTTGCGGTAAGTATATAGCGTAGATTCTAGTAACGTGTTCAGACTTGTACAAAACTTTTTGAAATATCATAGACGTGCGAAACTTGTATGTTTCAGTTTCTGGTTACAATAAGTTTTCTTCTTTAAAGGTGATGAACATGATTCACATGATCGTCGTTGGACGACTGAAGGCTTACAAAGTGTTAGTTCCTCAAGATGACACTAGAGGCACTCTAGTCGTGTTATGGCCAGATGCAACGAAGAAAGAGGTATTTGGTTAATTTTTGACAGTTGTAAAAATGATAAGATATTATAAACCAAAGGAAATATTTCAATTCTCTATCGCTCTTATTTCGGGAACCATATTTAAATTTTGTTTTCAGTTTTCATGATAAGCTTTGTCACAATACGCAAGGTGTTTATTTAATCGAGAGAACTGAATAATACATTTTCCATAATACTGATGTTAAAACTTGTTTTTCAACCAAGATGAAAACAAAACTTGTTTCTATAGCAACCTCTTTATCTCTAGAGAGATCAGTTTCCGGTGTCAATTTTCGCCACTCCTGAGGCTTCCCATCAACTCGAGGATCATCTTCTAAACACCACCCTAGTGGACTGGAGCAGAAACATTTCATTTTTTGACCTGTTGCCATGGGTATTGCCTCCTACAATCCGAGCTGCTCAGAAGAAGGGAAAGGTCGAAGAACTTAACTCCTACAGACGATGGGTTTTACAAGACCTGAGTCCCGCTGACTTGGAGATAGAGTACGGAAAACTTATTTTAGCTAAAAATTGTTTGTTTTTCTTTCAAGATTATTTTAAACAAGCCTCTCGGTAGCTCAACAGTGAGGGCTTATAATGCTAAAAAATGGGGTTTAGCTACCCGCAGTGGACACGGTACAAATAGCCCAAGTGTCGTTTTGTGAATAATAATCTTGTACAGAAATAGGTTGAATAGTTTTATAGAACACGTTAAATTTACAACTTTATTTTGTTATTAATGTAAATAATGACAAAACTTAGCCTAATTACTGCCCTAACCCTAATAGGTATAGAAATTAAGATTGTAACAATATTGTCTTCGTTAGTTATTCATACAATAAACTGGAAACAAACTATTGATTTGGAAGGAGCCTCACTATTCGTTTTAGCAATGTTGGAATGCTCTTTCTTTCAGTCTCCCAGTTGAAGTGTACGTTGCGCCCCTGGAACCCCACCATGCCAAAGAAATCTATAAATTCTGGCGGTTTCGTTGGGCCTACAGCTACGATAACTTGTTGGAACAAGTAGGACATCTTCCATCATCAGGGATCTTCCTCCGCCAGACCAACGAGCTCATTTCTTGGCGGACGACTTGTATCAATGGTTACAATGGACACGGGTACACTCTTCCAGAGCACCGAATGAAGGGCTACAGTCGCATAGCCCTCAAGTTCTTGACCAAAGAATCCCTGTGTCTAGGGTTGATTCCTTGCACTACCATCAGGCGGTGTAACTCTGCTTCCGAGAACCTCTACGCTACAAGCGGTTTCCAACCTGTTTATGACTTTTTTGTATTTCACCTTGTCGGCAGCGACCACATGAGATGTGACTAAAAGAAATTTGTTGGTATTTTTCTATTATATCTCTGTTTATACATTCATTGTTTCTATCACCGGAGGATTTTTTCCAATATCTTCTAAAAACGTAGATAGTGTTATTCAAATTTTTAAACTATTCTTCAAACCTTACTGTAGGAAATACAGACACTTTCAGAAAGTTTAAATCTGTCGCGTTGTAAGATAGGCAGTCATATTTATACTAGTGTGTCAGCGTCTTTAATTTCTTATGTTGTCATTTAAATCAAGTTATACTTGTCAGAAGATATCCTCTGAAGTTCAGTTTAGTGGAAAAACGACACGTCGTCTTTCTTTCTAGGCCCCGTGTTACGAAATCCCCCCCCCCACAAAAATTGTATATTTTAAACGAATAGTTTTTTCTAGTTACTATAGAATATAAAAAAGTTCTGGGAATTTGTTAGCTTAATTTGAAATAACTTAGACGTTAAAACGTTTGAAAAATTAACTTTTTATTAATCTGCTTGTCTTCCACTACCTCTGGTTTTAGTTTTGTTTTTAATTGTTGTGAACTTTGTTTTTAAATTGAACTATTCTGATTTATAGAAAGAATTTTACTTACAAAAGTAAAGCCTGGAAAGGTTTTTATTTAAACGTGAAAACACCAAAGGTGGGCCCAGAATTCAATGTTATTAGGTCGGAAGGGGGGAGGGGTGGGGTTAACGAGTTTGGACCTAGAATTCGATGTTATTAGGTCGGAAGGGGGGAGGGGTTGGGTTTAACGAGTTTGGACCTAGAATTCGATGTTATTAGGCTTGGGACAAACTTTTAAAAAATCTTTTATTTTGTATACAACAAATTTTTTAATAAAGTTACAGACAAAACTATCGGTTATTACTTGCTCCAGAGACGGAATCCTAAATTCCTGAGGGAATTCACAATTAAAAAAGGCTTCTGCCATCCTGGTAGGGGAGAGTTTCAGAATACAAGTTACCTGGAATAAACAAGGTCTGGTTTCGAGCCAACAGGACTGTAAAAACTGTATGGTATTTCTTTTATATATATATATATCTTTTAGAGTAATAACCCCCCCTTCCTGTGGCTTCCATACGTATGTAATACCGTTACTGATGTAATGTCTGAACAGTTGAATCATATAAAAATAAAGGTATTTTATAGAAAGTG